GGCTTAGGATCTGATGGATCGAGCCTCATGCACTTGATTATGCCAACTTGATCATTACAATGGTAGATCTTCAAACGATGGCCGTTGACCATGAACTTGTTCCCTTCCGCCTCCAACTCAAAAGACCCATAAGGAGTGGTCCTCGAAATTGTGAAAGGCCCGACCACTTGAACTTTAGCTTTCCGGGAAATAATCTAACCCTAGAGTTGAATAACAACACCTTGTCTCCAACCTTGAAGCTCTTGTTCCTTATATGTTGGTCGTGCCATCTCTTAGTCCTCTCTTTGTAGAGCCTTGAGTTCTCATAGGCGTCATATCGGAGCTCTTCAAGTTCATTAAGCTTAAGCAACCACTTCTCACCCGCCAAGGTCATATCCATGTTAAGCTCCTTGATCGCCCACCAAGCCTTGTATTCCAACTCAACCGGCAAATGACAAGCCTTCCCATAAACCAACCGGTAGGGGGTTGTACCAATGGGGGTCTTGTATGCCGTCCTTAAGGCCCAGAGCGTGTCATCGAGCTTGAGAGACCAATCTTTTCTAGACTTGTTTACCATCCTCTCAAGAAGGTTCTTGATCTCTCTATTTGACACCTCCACTTGCCCTTGAGTTTGTGGGTGGTAAGGTAGGTCGACCTTGTGATGAACCCCATATCGTTTGAGGAGAGCTTCGAGTTGTTTCTTGGCGAAATGAGAACCACCATTGTTGATTAGCACTCTAGGAACCCCAAATTGTGGAAATATGACTTTTTTTAGAAGCTTGAGTACAACTTTGTGGTCGTTGGTGGGGGAGGGTATAGCTTCAATCCATTTTGTCACATAGTCCACCACCACCAAGATGTATAGATTCCCACGAGAAGAGACAAATGGCCCCATGAAATCGACACCCCAAACATCGAATGGCTCGACCTCCAAAATGTTTTGTTGAGGTATTTCATCCCTTTTGGTTATGCCACCACTTCTTTGGCATTTGTCGCATCTTGAAACGAACTTGTGGGCATCCTTGTGCATTGTTGGCCACCAAAGAAGATATTGAGATATCTTTTCCACGGTCTTTTTGACTCCTCCGTGACCTCCACACAGCAATGAGTGGCAATGCTCAAGAACTCCTTCGATCTCATGATCCGGGACACATTTCCGGAAAAGGCCATCTCCACATTGCTTGAACAAGTAAGGGTCATTCCAAAAATACCTCCTCACTTCTTTGAAAAACCTCTTCTTTTGTTGAGAAGAGAGCTCCGGAGGAACAACTCCACAAGCTAGATAATTAGCTATGTCCGCGTACCAAGGGCTAGGTGTTGAAGCCATGGCCATGAGGGTTTCAAATCCCACCTCCTCATTGATCAGCACATCCTCCTTATTCTCAAAAGGAAGCCTAGACAAATGATCCGCTACATAATTCTCCGCTCCCTTTTTATCCCTCATTTCCATGTCCAAATCTTGGAGCGAAAGAACCCAACGGATGAGACGCGGTTTTGCTTCCTTTTTGGTCATAAGGTAGCGGACCGCTATGTGGTCCGTGTATACAATCACCTTTGAACATATGAGGTAAGACCGGAACTTATCCATGGCAAACATGACTGCTAGCATTTCCTTCTCCGTTGTAGTGTAGTTCTTTTGAGCTTCATCGAGCATTCTACTCGCGTAGTAGATGACATGGGATCTTCCATCTTTCTTTTGACCAAGCATCGCACCTACTGCAAAATCACTTGCATCGCACATTAGCTCAAAAGGCAAGCTCCAATCCGGAGCTTGCAAAACAGGAGAGGAGATGAGGGCTTCCTTGAGCTTTTGGAATGCTTCAAGGCAAGCCTCATTAAAGCTAAACACAACATCCTTTTTAAGTAACTCGGTTAAGGGTTTGGCGATTGATGAAATTTTTTTGATAAACCTCTGGTAAAAACTGGCATGCCCTAAAAAAGCTCTCACTCCCGTAACGGAAGTAGGAGGGGCAACTTAGCAATCACCAAAACCTTAGCCAAGTCAACTTCAATGCCCTTTTTGATACTTTATGGCCTAGGACAATACCTTCCTCGACTATAAAATGGCATTTCTCCCAATTCAATACCAAACTCGTCTCTTGACACCTTTTCAAAACTTATTCAAGATTATAAAGACATGTGTCAAAAGACGAGCCACCAACACTAAAATCATCCATAAAAAATTCAATCTCATTCTCAAGCATTTCAGAAAAAATGGAAGTCATGCATCGTTGGAAAGTTGAGGGAGCATTGCATAACCTGAATGACATTCTTCGGTATGAAAATGTCCCATATGGACATGTAAAAGTAGTTTTCTCTTGATCACTTGGATGGATAGGAATTTGGAAAAATCCGGAATATCCATCCAAGAAGCAAAAGAAAGCATGATGGGAGAGTCTCTCCAACATTTGGTCCATGAAGGGGAGAGGAAAATGATCTTTCTTAGTGTTTTTGTTCAACTTCCTATAATCAATGCACATCCTCCACCCGGTCACCGTCCGGGTGGAGATTTCCTCTCCTCCTTCTCCCTTGACAATGGTCATTCCACCTTTCTTTGGAACCACGTGAACCAGGCTAACCCACTTGCTATCGAAGATAACATAGATTATACCCGCTTCACGTAATTTCAAAATTTCTTTCTTGACAACCTCTTAGAGGTTTGGGTTCAACCTCCTTTGAGGCTCAATTGAGGTGGATTTATCATCCTCAAGGTGAATACGATGCATGCACAAAGAAGGGCTAATACCCTTGATATCATCAATGCTATACCCTATTACATTTTTATATATTCTCAAAACAACAAGCAATTTTTCCAAATCTAGCCCATTAAGTGTAGCATTGACAATAATAGGATATTCCCCTTTATTTCCAAGATAAGCATATTTCAAATATGGGGGAAGGGATTTGAGTTCTACCTTGGGAGGAGGCTTGGAACTCTCCTCTAATTTTTCCTCCGCTAGTTCGAGCTCTTCATCCCTAGGATCATCCTCTTCCTCCATTTTGGCCTCTTCAAGGGCCATGACAAACTCCTTTGCCTCTTGAAAGTGGTACTCTTCTTCGCATGTAAGAGCTTCAACCATTGGATCTTGAGGGCTCATCATAACCCTTCCCAAACGATCCAATTCTTCATTCGCAACATCAACCCTATAGCACTTCTCAACCATGGGGGTTTTGAGTAACTTAGAGAATTCAAAAACAATTTTCTCATCGGCTACCTCACATGTAATGGTGTTGTTCTTGCAATTGATTACCGCCCCCAAGGTCTTAAGAGCTTCACGGCCCAAAATCAAGGGAGTATCCACATCTTCCTCCATATCCATCACTACAAAATCACAAGGCACATAGATATGCCCAACTTGAATAGGGACATCTTCAAGCTCACCACAAGGTAGCTTCACCGAACGGTCGGCCAATTGAATGGTTTTCCTTGTGGGGATCATCTCAATATTAAGCTTTTGAGAAATGGATAGAGGGATCAAACTAACACTTGCTCCAAGATCGGCTAAGGCACCCCTAGCTTCCATGTTCCCAATCTTAACCGGCAAGGTGAAACTTCCCGGATCCTTTTGCTTCTTGGGCATCTTATGTTGAACAAGTGCACTCACTTGATGGGGGAGAGTGATAAGCTCATCATTGAGGTTTCTCTTGTTGGTGAGAATGTCTTTCAAGAACTTGGAGTATGAAGGCATTTGTGTGACAACTTCGATAAAAGGGAGGCTTATGTGCAAGTTCTTCATCACGCTTAGGAACTTTGCAAATTTGTCATTCAATTTTCTCTCCGCAAGCCGACCGGGAAAGGGAACCGGTCCATCGAGATTTCTAGCCTCAATAGGAGTTGACGATGTCACCACCTCCTTAGACTTATTTTTCTCCATACTTCTCTCTTTCTCATCAACCTTCTCTTCTTCAACTTCTTTATCTTCAATCACACTCTCTTCTCCTACCTTCTTTTCCTTATCATCCCCCTCCTTGGGACCTCATAGGATGTGTCCGATCTCAATGTGATTGCCTTGCAAGATTCAGGTTTCATAATGTTGGAAGGGTTGGTTTGTGATTGCCCGAGTAGAGTAGAAGATGAGTTGAAAGCAACCCTCTCGGCCAATTGAGCTAGTTGTGAATCAACCATCTTGTTATGAGCCTTGACCTCTTGCATTTGTTGATTCATGGCTTGAAGTTGTTGAAGAATTTGGGTTTGAGTAGAATCGGGTTGAGATGCTTGCTCTTGACTCCTTTGAGTCGCTTGATTTTGATTTTGGTATAGGTGTTGATTATTTGTTAGTGGTTCCTTGGGTAGTTTCCCCTTGGGTTTTGGTTTTGGTATGGAGGAGGGTTTTGGTATTGTGAGTTGGAATTGTATGGTTGTTGAGCTTGTTGGTTCCATTGTTGGGGTTGGTTTGCAAATCCGGGTGGTGGTTGTCTCCAAGCTACTCCACCGCCATTTCCCCTATATCCATCTTGCCTTGTATTGTTTGCCGCTACATGCTCCGGGCTCAAACCTCCACAATAAGATGTATCATGGTTTGTACCTCCGCAATTTTGACAAGAGAAAGAGTTGACTTGGGATGAGCTTGCACCACTATTGACATTGGTGTTTAACTTTGCAAGGCCTTTTGTTAAAAGCTCAATTTGATGTTGCAATTGATCGACCTTTTCCAACTCATACTTTCCACCCTTCTTCGGTGGATTCCTCCTTCTACCGCCCCAAGAGTATTTCTTCACTACCTCTTCGATTGTTGCTTCAACTTGGTTTTGAGGGATTTTGATCAATTGTCCACCCGCCCCCGCATCCAAGTTAGCTCTAGACATACGTTCCAAACCATCCGCTACTACAAATTTGGCCTAAAGTATCACTAATAAGAAACCCCTTTTAGTAAATAGGGGGTTTTTTAATAAAAGAAACCTATGATCTAAGAAAAGGAGTTTCTTTGAATGAGATATAAGAGACCCCTCATTAAAAAATGAGGTTCCTTATTTAGTCTTAAAATTTAACCAAACTTAAGGAACCTTTTATTCCCAAAACTGGTTTCTTATTTTTTATTTATTAAATTAAAAAAAAATGAAAATTTAGAATTGGTAATTTAATTAAGTGCAAAACTCTGTAATAACTCTTTCATTTACTTCATTGATATTCACGTACGCTAATTTACCGCCACTACTACAATCACCCTCCCATCTTCCTCCAGTACCTTCAATTACATACGATTAAGCTTCCCTCCACCGCCATCGCAACCGCAAAAGCCCTTGCCCATCACAAAAGCCATTGCAATTTCGCTTATCTGCCACCATAGCCACTTTAATTTGTTCTGGTTTTTGTGTCGTTTGAACTACTGCCGGCACCGCCACTGAAGCCACCGAAACCACCAACGCCACTGGGTAATTCTAATTTTTTGACTTTTTAATTTAATTAATTTGATGATAAAAATACCCTAATTTTTGTTCTGTTGTTAATTTGGTACTTTTTTTTTCGATTTCATGTGATTGGGTATGCATGTATGACTAAATTAAAATCGAGATTATAGGACCATTGAAATTATAGGTTTAAATTATATGACTTGTTGTATACTGTTTGGCGATGGGTTTAAGAGAACCAATTGTTGAGAATTGGGTATGCATGTATGGCTAAATTAGAATTGAGATTAAGTTTGTCTCTTCTAAATTAAAGTGACGCTTATTGCTGTATATATGTGATTCAGAGAGAGGCCATTATTAGTCAATTCTTTCTGTTTGGTATGAAAAATTCTGTGAATGTGTTTTTTTTTTTTTTTTTTTTTTTTTTTTTTTTTTTTTATTCTGGGGCAATTTAGATCATGTGGATTACTGAAATATGGACGGGAGGATTGATATCAATGATGAGTGTAGACTAGCATTTGAGTGTTATTTTAAACAGTGCTACTATTAGATTAGCTCCTAATTGGACTCGTTCCTATTAATGAGTGAAATTTTTTTATGAAGAAAGATTCGATAAATGGAAAGGAACTGCACATTGAGAACCACACGTATTTTCACATAATTCAAGTATTGACAATTACTTTAGAAATGGCCTGGTTGGAATTCAATCAAGAGAAGCTGTTGTGGAATATTTTAAGACCTTCCAACTTGCTAAGGAATTGTACCGTTGGATATTGGTGATAATGTGATATTGTCAATCAATAAGAAAAATATCATATTGATGCTTTCTTCAGCTTGAGTTTTTACTCTTTGTGTGTATGGCTATATGTTTATCAGTTTATGTACAAAGGAGTATCGAACCAACATTTAAATTTAATGAAGTACGGTGTATGTTTTTTTTTTTAAAAAAAAAAAAAAAGACAATTACAATCTCTCTAGCTACCTTTTGTCATTTACTATTATACATGAACCAGATACATGAACCTATTTAAAACAGCTCAAAAGGCAGAAAGTTTGTAGAACAGTTCTTACTGCTTTGAAATATTAAAAGCTTTTTGATAGAATTAAAATCCCTTGTTCTTGAAAACCTTGAATTTTAGCCATTTTTTTTTTATTTCTGTGTTCTTTTACTTTCTTTACTTGTTCTGCGCTTCTTGATAGTTGTTGTGTCTATTATTGTTATCTATTCAATTTTTTAAATTCAATTTATGGTACCTATGCTTCTATGTATTTTGGTTTGGATCTGTTTTATGGCTTTGGTTAAACGATGTTTTGCTCGGTTAATGGAGTTGCTATGGCAGCATCTCTCAAACTCTTTGTGGTTTATTAAGTTTTAATGTATTCCCTTTTCCTTAAACATACAAAATAACACGATCAATAAACAAATGAATATAGTTGTATCCCTGTTGATTGCTCTTAAATTCCTGACCCACACTCAATGTATCAGTCTCCAAACACACTTTAGTATAGCCAAGACATTGTGCAAGCTCCATCCCAAACAAAGAGCAGCAGCCTTGGCAACACTTGGATCCCAGTTTTCGTCTTGCAGCAGTAGCAATAAGAGCACCATTCGAGTCATTAACCACCACTCCCAAGCCAACTTATTTCTCATTTAAGATCGCAGCATCAGTATTAATCTTCACTACACCAGCAGGGGGACAGTTCTAGGTTGTAGCATGCCTTGGCACACCCCTAGCCACTCTCCCAAACACTCTAGCAGAATACACCTTATAATTAGCCACATACCTCAGAAAACCTGCTGCAAGCATTCTTGGATCATGGTCTGAAGTGTTATTGATGGTCTTGTTATCACAAGTTAATAAAACAAACTCAAAAGTCTCAAAAGTTAATATAATTTCACTAACATCTAGGCAATTCTCCATGCTATCACAAGTTAACAGAATATATCTTGTTAATAACAAATAATGTCAGAGTATTAAAAAATTATTACTTGTATTAAACATGTGTGAATGTATACCTATCCAATACAAAACTAATTTCTCTTTTAAAAGCCTCCCTCCATTAGTCTTGTTTAATTAATTGTTGTCAATAAATTGTTACAATCAAGGGCTTATTTATAATAGAAATTCCCTCCATATGTTTGTCTGATTGTATATCGTGTGTGAATGTTTTTGTATTATATGCATTCATGGCTATATACTGATGTCACTCAAAGTATATAGGATAAGCTTAAATTATTAGATGGTAGACCATATTTTGTATGTTAGAGAGTCATTTGTTTTTGTATTTTGGCCGGGTTGAGTGGTCAAGATTCAGTGAGTATTAAAAGGTCCTAACTTTCCAGTGCTTTCATAAACGTGCATGCTTTAGTCTCTAACTCGGTTGATCAAGTGGTGATGCCAGCAGCTCTTATGCCATGTCCAACCTCAGAGTTCACGTATGTGTCTCAAGCTAAGGGTAGTTTTGCTCCCTGGCCAAGTCACTTGATTTTTCCAATGATGAAGGTAAAATTTATAATATTACAAAATTATGTCCCAAAGTGGTTATTTAAGTCTCGTGTTTGTATGTTATTTTAATCAATTTTCTTTTTGATTTGTGCTTTTACTTTAAAGGAGGATGAACAAACAGCAAAACTACTTGATCAACCCCTGACTACTCCATCCCTGAAACACCATCATCACAAGCATCCACTACTCATAAGTATGTCATCAGAAATTCTGTTTTCATTTTTTTTATTCTGTTTTCAATTTTTTATTCTGCTTTCATTTTATTCTGTTTTCATTTATATTACTTGTTTTTATCTATATTATTCTGTTTTTGTATTCTGTATTATGTTTCAGGGGGAAACATACTCCATGTTTCTGGGGCAAGTTAACAGATTTTGTAGCCAACTTTGAAGGCTACTTTAGGATTATCAGCCTGTTAGAAATGCATTATTTATTTGCCCTGGAAATGGGCTGGAAGTTTGATTGAGTCTGAACCACTGCATTATATGGATGTGAGAATGATCATATCAATAATTTTGGTCAAACTAACTTCCGGAAGTTGTACACATAACTAACATTAGTTATCTTAAGGCCTTTATGATTGTTCATTAAGAAGTTGGTCATACATTCTATAATAGCAGTTAAGAACCCAGAAGCTTTTAATTGCTCAACTTTGTTTGTGTTGGCTATATTCTGATTGTACTATAATGGGTATCCGGCATATGACGACATGAATAAGTAAAAGATGCAGGCACATAAATATTGTGGTTTTGAAAATTCAGTCATTACAACTTTAGTCACATGAACTAAACTGGTTCAGTTATGGTCAATTTGTCGATCATGTATCAGCTAGGGTCAAGTAATGCGTTATTATGGTGTGTTTTCTTTGTGGTGGGCTTCAATGCTTTTTTACACTATAGAAAATTTTCCATTCCGATGAAATAATGCATGCTTGATTTTAAACAGAAATAAGGCATGTAAAGTTAGTTCACATTGTCTTTTTCATGTTCTTCATAATGTACTTTAACTCAATGTATTTGTAGTTATTAACGCATGTTGTTAATGCTTTATATGTAGTACTTTACTTCAGTATCTTCTTCTTATTCTCAAAAAAAAAGATTGACGAGCTAAAAGACTTATGGGTTAATTATGTGAACGAGCATAAGCAAGTCAGTGAAGAATATGACGATGGTGTGGATTATGATGAGTAAATTTATATGCATCACGCTACCATTACAATTTTAGTATTTTATATTGTCTTTTTTCTTTTGGTACTACGTACAACATAAATACTCTAAATTTGTACTCGTAGTAAAATATTTATTTTTAATGAAAGTATGCAATATTTTATCTTGTATAGTAGCTTATTTTCATATTTTTGTTTATAATTATATATATATACAGGTTTGTCACCTGTTGGGTACTCGTTACATTATGTTGCTTTAAAAAAAATTAAAAAAATAAATAAAAAACCGGTTGTCTAACAAATCTTGCCGGCAATTCATTCATATTATTATTATTATTATTATTATTATTATTATTATTATTATTATTATTATTATTATTATTATTATTATTATTATTATTATTATTTTGAGCCTAGATAAGAGACCTCTTTTCCAGTTAGGGGGGTTTTTTAAAATGTGATATATGAGACCCCTTCTCGCTCTTATGTGGTTCCATATATAGCTTTTATGTAAAATTTAAAGGGTTGGATAAATAGCCACCTAAGAAAGAAAAGGGGTTTCTTATTGTCTTTAAGAAACCACCTCCAAAAAGGGGTTTCTTTACCTAAGAGGTCGCTGACCTTAAGACCCCCTCTTATGTGGTCTCAAAGGGAGGTTTTAGGGGGTTTCTTATGGGTTTTTTTTGTAGTAGTGATCATAGAAGAACCTCATGAGCAAGCTTTGATTGTATTCATGATGGGGACATACTTGCACCAACTCTTTAAACCTTTCCCAAGCTTCACTAAGGCTTTCATCCGCCTCTTGTTCAAATGATGCAATCTTCCTCCTCATCTCGACGGTCTTCTCTTCGGAAATGAACCTTTTCAAGAATAATGCTTAGACAATCTCCCTCCATGCTGTGAGAGAATTAGGCTTGACTTGCGTGAGCCACTTCTTTGCTCTTCCCGTAAGAGATTGTCGGAATAGATGCATTCGGATGTATTCTTGGGAAACTTGATTGGTTTTTATCATGGCACAAAGCTCGAGGAACCTATCAAAGTGCTCAATAGGATCTTCACTTGGGGAACCCGAAAATTGCTCCGCTTGGACCATTCTTGTGTATTGTGGATGGATGGTAAAGTTGGTCTCCGTGACGGGTAGCAATATCCCACCGGTGAGCTCATAATCCTTCGGATTACCAAACTCACGAAATAAAACATCCACTTGTTGTCCCGCCATTTCCTCGCTTTGGGAGTGTGAGGACCAAGAATCACTCTAACTATCAAAAATAGCACCAAGACCTCGCCCCTCTTCTTGATAAAGTCTATGGACTTGTCTCTAGGTGCAGTCAATTTCGTGATCAATGCTGTGAGTAGGAGGTCCTTGAGATCTTCATTGCATCCACCAAAGCTAAGCAAACTATTAGCAATGACTAGCAAGTGGAAAAAGAACAAAGTAAAGAGCAACAAATCCAATAATAGCGCAAATTAAGAGTGCAAAACAAGCCGTGTCCCCGGCAACGACGCCAAAATTTTGATCAGGGGACAATAAGTCGTTGGTCTACTATCCTAAATAAAAATTACAATTTATATCTCCTAACCTAACTCTATTACTTTAGATAGTGGCAAGGTAGGGTCGATTCCCAAGGAAACGGGGGTTGAGCACAATTAACACGTATCTAGGATAAATTGCTAGTGACAAAAAGGGGTTATTATGGTTTGATGTTGAAGATTTCTATGATCAATCTAATTACCAAAAAGAGACCGAGTTAAACTAAAGAAGAAGGGATTGAACTAGGCACTCTAAATGAAAACAAAGGACAGGATGATAGCGATATCAATTGCAAAAAGCACTGGGGAGAGGGGGTTCCAATCATGACCAACAAGACACTAATGAAAATCAATAAGGAAATACACCAAGGAGTTCAAACTCTACTCAAAGCAATTCATTCTCATGAAACTACTCAAAGCAAGTTGATGAAATCAATCAACCCTAAACTAGATCATTCTCATGCATCTAATCTAGGACTAAAACATTGGGGTTATAGGTGCACACAATAACTCCAAGCATATTTAAGCACAAATCATCAACTCAAGGTAGAATCCAATCAATAATCAATAGGAACTCAAATAAACATGATTTTCACCCCCTTCCCTAGCTAAAAATCTAAGCTAGAGAAAGGAAAATAGCCATGACAACCAAGCTAAACAAGTATTCAATCCTAATGCAACCTAGCATTATTCTAAGTCAAAGAGAAATCAAAGAAACTAATAAAGCATGGATATTTATGAGGAAAACATGAATTAATAAAAACAATAAAACTAAGTATTAGAGAAATAAGAGAAAAGATTACTATTATAAAAGTTGAAGGATTACCCTATCATCAAAGTTGTTGCAACAATCTAGAGGAAACCTTTAATATTTTATTACAAAGATTGAATCTTGAAGACTAATGTTTTCTCTCTCTAAAAGACATGGATTTTCTTTCTCTACAAGTGTTTTTGATGCCAATGGAATAGTGAATAATTGAAAACTCAAGCTAAAGACTATTTATAGTCTTCTACCATAACGAGGAAAATGGGCAAGGGAAAGGGCTCTCCGAACAGGCTGCCGTGCCCTCTCTAAGCTGGGTAATAAGTTCGCTAGACCCAGATTGCCGCGCCCGCGTATCTTCTCTGCCGCGCCCGCAGGCCTCTGCGCCTCGCCCGCGGCTCGCCATCTCCAGAAACTCTCGTTGGCTTAGGACCTTTTGATGTTTTAAATAGGTTCATGTAAAAGAGGTGAGAAATGGTATAAGCAAGTGACAAATCTGGGGGAAATTTCTAGTGAAAGAGGGTGAAATGGTGGCATAAATGCCACTCATCATGTACCAATCAATGAAGAAGTAGGATTTGAAACTCTCATGGCTATGGCTTCAACATCTAGCCCATGGTATGCGAATATAGTCATTCCCCCGGAGTTTTCTTCTCAGCAAAAGAAGAGGTTTTTCAACAAGGTGAGGAGGTACTTTTGGAATGACCCCTACTTGTTTAAACAGTGTGGAGATGGCCTTTACCGGAAATGTGTTCCGGACCATGAAATCGAAGGAGTTCTTGAGCATTGCCACTCGTTGCCATGTGGAGGACATGAGGGAGTTGATAAGCGCTGGCAAAGATTTCTCAATCTCTCCTATGGTGGCCGACGATGCATAAGGATGCCCAAAGGTTTGTTTCAAGATGCGACAAGTGCCAAAGAAGTGGTGGCATAACCAAAAGAGATGAAATGCCTCAACAAAACATTTTGGAAGTTGAGCCTTTTGATGTTTGGGGCGTCGACTTTATGGGGCCTTTTGTCTCTTCATGTGGGAATTTATACATCTTAGTAGCGGTGGACCATGTGACTAAGTGGATTGAAGTTATACCCTCCCCTACCAATGATCATAAGGTTGTGCTTAAATTTCTCAAGAAAATCATATTTCCGCGGTTTGGGTCCCTATTGTGCTAATTAGTGATGGAGGTTCTCATTTCGCCAAGAAGCAATTTGAGGCTCTTCTCAAGAGGTACAGAGTTCATCAAAAGGTTGGTCTACCTTCTCATCCTCAAACTCAAGGAAGGACAAGTGGAGGTGTCAAATAGAGAAATCAAGAACCTTCTTGAAAGGATGGTGAACATGTCTAGGAAGGATTGGTCCCCTAAGCTTGACGACAGACTTTAGGCCTTGCGGACGGCGTACAAGACTCCAATTGGTACAACCCCCTATCGGTTGGTCTATAGGAAGGCTTGTCATTTTCCGGTTGAGTTAGAGTATAAAGCTTGGTTGGCAATCAAGGAGCTTAAAATGGACATGTCGTAGGCCGGTGAGAAGAGGTTGCTCAAGCTCAATGAACTTTAAGAGCTTCGATATGATGCCTACGAGAACTCAAGGTTATACAAGGAGAAAACCAAGAAATGGCACGACCAACATATAACGAACAAGAGCTTCAAGGTTGGAGACAAAGTGTTATTGTTCAACTCTAGGCTTCGTTTGTTTCCTGGAAAGCTCAAATCCAAATGGTCGGGGCCTTCCGTGATTTCAAGGACTACTCCTTATGGGTCTTTTGAGTTAGAGGCGGGTGACAATAGGTTCATGGTTAATGGTCATCGTTTGAAGTAGTACTACTTTTGCAAGGATGAAGTTGGTTTGGTTGAATGTATGAGGCTTGATCCGATGGATCTTGAGCCACCCTCTTGATGACAATTTCTCATGGTCAAGCTAGTGACCTTGTAAAGAAGCGCTTCTCGAGAGGCAACCCGAGTTCTCAACTCTTTTGTTCTTTATTTCCTTCATTTATTCGATTTTAATTGATCTCTTTTAAGTGTTTTTGACTTATGGTCTTTGGTTGTTATTTTGTAGGTACTTGAATTTTTGGGCAATGCTTTTGTGGATTAAGGTTTGAGGGTGTTTTCACCTCAATGGAGTCCTTTTGAAACTCTAAAATTATCGATTTGCTCAAAAGAAATGGATAAGATATACTGAGCCAGTATGAGTATAAAATATCTTATTGTGTAGCTTTGTTGTCTGGACATTGATGCAATTGAGAGATTCTTATGAATCATATCATCATAAATTCAGAAGTCAGAACTCATAAGTCATACCCATACCAGTCCAAGAAAGCC